TCTTGGCTCGTCAAGATGTCTGAAGCTACATATACCTTCAATAACTTGGGCTGAGGGGTGGTGTTAGACACTACAGAGCTGCTTCCCAGCATGACCTTTCAACGCACATTAAACTCGTCTGAATGGTGAGATTTTCCCCACTTCATATGCACAGGCTTCCTGGTTGTCTTCTGCAAGGACAAGAGGTGGTATATACACAAGAGCGTCCATACTGAAGGGTTATTCTAAATAGCCTTTGCCCCTTGTCTGCAGTGTGACTGCAGAAGGCCGAAGCAGCTGATGTGAGGATGTTCCTCACCGCTTGCGCCTCTCAACATTTAAGAGCATTATCTGTAGTCCCTGGATGCAACAGACAGGGAGGCTTGTGGCGATTTGAAAACCTCCAAGTTGAAGTGTGAACACAAGGCAGTTCAGCGCACCTTGAGGCTTACAGGAACAAACTACACTATATGAGAGTCAAGTTGAACAGGTTCTTGAAACTGCAGAGAAAACTGGAGACACACAAAAGTACAAAACCTTAAAGAAACAGTGGAAAGGAAGAGTTTCTCCCATTTATTCCCATGTTATTTCAGCAAGGAAGCACCACATTAAAAGAAATAAGTCATTAAAGATCCTAGGAGGTTGTGAAAACTTGTGTAGGAAGCACTAGGAATTGATAAAGTCCTGCCAGACAAGTCTGATCGCCTTTATCTGACTTACACGATCAGAGAAGCTGGAGATAAGACTCACCTTGAAGAAGGCAACCGATGCCCTCAAAGAAAACAAAATAAAACAAACAAAAAACACCCCAAAAAGCTTCCATAGACATGAACGCCCGGCAGCAATGAAACATGGCTGAGATGCCATGGACAAACCCGAGGAGAGAGGGCAGGAAGAGGAGGCAGAGGGAAGGATGCTGCCAAGACCTAATCGCTAGGAAGGTGAAGCACGCGGGCACTCGGAACGCTTGTGCCATTCCCAAGGCCCTGATCCTGCCCAGTTAAGCAGCTGCTTAACTCGTGCCCTGCAGTCAGCCCGCGGAGCTACGTGCGCGGCGTCCTGCGGAGATGGGGCCAGGCTCAC